AAGTTTTTTTATACTTTATTTTTCAAACCTATGACAGAAATGTAATGATTTATTATTATTTGCGTATTTGCGAATAAAGAGATTCAGTCAAGGCGTTAACACAATGCATTGGCGAATGATTTGTCGCTTCCCCTGCCACCTTAACTCCTAAATATTTTAAACAACTTGCAAAAATACACGTGAATCTAAGATGTACCAGTTTCAAGTAATTTATCACAGTAAAATGGGTCAATTTTATACAAAGAAGGTCCCAATATATGCTGGTTTTGTGAAACTTAGAACGCCCTGGCTTTCAATTCTGTACCCACATGAATACGGTGATCGGATGACATTATCGAATTTTGATCGATATCGATATCGATCTTAGATAATTACAGCGTCCAAAATAAACTACACTATTTTTTTGTTTGGGGGTATTGGTAGTAGATATGTCGTTTTCATAAGATTTTTTTCAACGAGTCCCGGGTTCTTACTGCCCTTGAAATATCTGGGAGATTGCCTTATTCGAATTTTGATATGCAGGATAACAATAAAACGGAAGGTCTTAATTGTTTTGATTGCTATGATACATGTTCGATGTTTGTTTTGTTTTTGCTAGTAATACATTGTATCACATGAAATTCGTGCCAATTGTGATTGACATATGATCCAACGTTTCATTTGTAGCATGGAATTAAAGGCATACAATATGATGTTTTGTTTTTGTTTTTTTGGTACTGAACTTAAGTTATCATTGGTGTGTGTTACCGTTACATTTAATGTCAAATGACAAACTTGACCACCATCACCAACCAACCAGCTGAATTACATTAGAAAATAATGCCGCCTTCGCAAATAACTACTTGTGTGTTGATTTTTTTATATTAGAGTAATGCTGGCTAAAGTATTATCTGATATGTCGTTTTAGTTCACAATCTGTAATGGTATTAAATGCGTGGATTTTCTATACATGTTGATTTGCAGATATTAAAGTTTTCTTCGGCGCAAACACGTGACAATCGCTCAAATAACATATTATAGGTCATTGTGTCATTTTTCTGCAAAATATGAAACGTATACACACATATCTAAAAACAACTACAATCAGAATATTTATAAATAATTTTATTTAAATAAATTTATGAAATAATTTTAATATTTACATATCGGGTATATTTACAAATGGCGCCCAATAATTCTCGTTAGACGTACTTATAAATTGGTGACTACCATCGATTACCATACCAGGGATTTGAGCTTAAACAGTAGTTCACTAAATTTAACTTTGAATGTGATAATTAAACACCAACGCCGTAAAAGTACGAGTATTATATATAAATAACAAATTTTCGAAAAACAAAACAAGCAATATATAAAGGTTCTTAGTTACACAGTGAATCACGTAAAAACTAAAGAAAGAAACACGTTCTGGAAATAAATAAGACTAATGTACAGGAAGCAATGATATAAATCTAAAAAGACGCCATAATACATATGAAAACATCTATATAAAAGAACACATACATTATTGAATGTGTTTTAAAGTCGACTTAAAAAGATTTTTTGTTTTGGTATCAGCCACTAAGAAATACAATTGCACTCGAACAAATCTGCAGTATAGAATATATAAACTATATTTGTTTTGTTTTCAACCTACCGCTTCATATTAAAAAAAACAGTCAGCTAAAATATACCATGATTGTCAATAGTAAAATAGAGCTTGCTTGATTCGGTACCACGTGGTAACTCATGAATACAAGATATATACATTTAAAAAGTGTCAAAACTGCACGTAATATCAGAGGAATAGTTAATAAATGAAAGAATAGATAAAGTCTCGTTATAAATATATATTAAAAGACAGTAAAACGGAAGATTATTGCTAAGAATTTGAATCTTTGACGTCGAGGTTTTCTCCTAGCAGCCAATGTGTGGTTTGCATTCCTTTACCCTAATAACGAAACAAGAAATTATAAAAACAATACGTTGGAATGAACCTGTTTCTAAATAAAAAGCAATTAATTTACTCCTTAAGCACGCGCACTTATTCCTCATCGTTCAGTGCATATTGTAGTTCATAACAGAGGAGTGTAACTATTAATCAACTTTGTGGCCGCGCGCCTAGATAAACATTACAATTGTAGCGTAAATCGTATAGACATAACAAATATCGACTTAGATTTGTTTGACAACTCACCTTCATCTCAATCTCTCCTCTTAGTTCCATTTTGAACGTATAGAATGTGTCTAGTATGGCGTGCGTTGATGAGCTAAGATGAATCTTCAGAGCTGTAACGAGCACAAAATAGAAATAATAAACAAAAATATGGTGTTATATTCAAAAAACGCGTTTAAGTCCATGGTTATTGGCCTTTGAACCCATTAGACCCTTTCCCTCTCCCTATCTTCCACCATCCAACGAGTTGGTTTTTATTATAAGTCTTATTCCTTTGCACATTTTGACACCAATATCATCTCTATACCATATTGAAATACTATTCATATTTCATTTTATGTGATAAGAATGACAATTTTTGACATTTTACCTCATTATTGGAGGTCAAGATTTGATGCAAAGAGTTAACTTTTAATTTAAGTCTTCTTCCTTTTTTAATTCTGCGCATTTTGACGACAATTTTACCTATATACCATATTCAGGTGATGAAATATGATTCATACAAAAATCATAGCTATTTTGGCAAAAGTCAATGACCTTTGACCTCCGATAAAAAAGTTTCCCCGCCCAGCCCCTATCTCCCCTTCTTTGTTTTGGTAGTTGTCCATACCCATACCTACCAAAAACAATTGAAATTAGCTTCTTTTAAAATTTTTCACAGATTGGCTCAATATATGGCTAATTTAGGGTTACTAAACAACGGGGTCTCGACAATCGAGATACATTACACATTCTGTATTCCGGCCGATATGAAGCATTTACATTAATACTAGCTTGAAATGCACACCATCTCCTTCAATTGTTTTCTGTATATGCCTCTCCCTCTTGAATTTATAGGTGAAGTATTTGTCACATGTTATCTCGGCGTCCGAGCTATTTTAAACTTTGATAATTGCGTACATTGCGATCAAAGGCTTTCAACTAAGTTTTGCCAACATTTTCAACACTTTTAATACACCGTTATATATTTCCGTTCAGTTGTAAACACACTTACGTTCCCCGTTAGACTCCATTCTTGATGCTGTGTTTACCGTGTCACCAAACAGACAGTATCGAGGCATCTTAAGACCAACAACACCCGCTACACAAGGACCTGTTATAGTAGTGAAATACGTCCAACCATTAGAAAACTGTAGGGCATTTAAGTATATCACGTGTGTCGTCCAAATATTATTAAATCAAGTCAGTTAATGAGAAAGAGTTACGAATACCTGAATGAATTCCAATACGTAAACGCATCTGATGGTTCGGTTGGTGTTTTATTTTAAAACTGAGTACAGCTTTTAACAAAGCTAGAGACATTCTAGCAACTTCCCGGGCATGGCGGTTCCCATTTCTGATTGGCAGACCGGAAGCAACCATGTACGCATCACCAATGGTTTCGACCTATATACACACAACGAAAACAAAATTTAATTCTGACTTTTGGCAGTGAGCTTATTTGGAATATATAAATTAGACAGACAAGGCACATAACATTTTTATGTTCGACCATCTACAGAGGGCGCTAATACGTGATTCAGAATTTTCTGCTACTACGCTACTACGGATTTTTTGGGAACGATCAAACCTTACCTTGTAAACGTCAAAATTACTTATAAGTGCATCGAAGCAGATGTATAAATCGTTAAGCATATCTACGACCTGCAATACAAATGAAACCATTGAACTAATTAGAATGAGTTAAGGGA